AGCTCTCGCTTCCGACCACGCCGGGCTCTCGTACGAATCCCGCATAGCCGAGCTCTAGTCCATATCTCGCGGCCAGGAAGGAGGTTGTTACCAAAACTATGGCACAAAGCCAAACTGCCCGGAATTAAAGTCCGGATGCAACACAACACATCACTATGGACTCCAGCCGAGCTCGCTTAAAGACCTCGTATCTGGATCATCATTGTCGGGCCCACTTCTCAAGCCCTGCGAACATCTAGGACCTACTTTCCAGGTTCTGTTTATATATTATAGCTGCTTGGGACATTTTACAAAATAAAATGCCTTTCACGACAGCAACTCACAACAAATGAGGCGACTGTGGCAACTCTGCAAAAATTTTACTACCACAGGCTGAGCAAGTGCACTTAGTGTCACGGGCTCAGATTGGTTAACGAGGGAGGACTTCGAAAAATGAGGCCACCTCGCCTGTTCAACGCACCTGTTAACCCCTCCTAATAACATAAAGAACAAACAAAAACAAAGGTTTCAAACTATTTTCCTAAGGAAAAACTAGTCCCAAAAGGCTTTGTTAAGCGCAGGGCACCAAACAAATGAGATACTGGCTACAACAAAATGGCACATCTTAAAGCTCCAAAATGACAGCTGAAAGCGCCAGTAAAAGCTCCAACGGTTAGCAATCACTGCTACTGATAAACTATTCAGTAATGGACCCTGAAAATCCATCACTGCACGAGCATGCAACATGCGAAGGGCAACATGGACGCTTGAAAATCCATGGCCACGAATCAAACAAAAGGCGAGTTCCATGCCACTAAAAATAGCAAGGAACCAACAATGCCTCACCCAAACGAGGTTGACCATGCAACCTTTGCTGGGGACAATTACGACAACTCAGCGTACACATGCTGAGCCCTGAGCAAAAGGAGGGCAGGTCATCTATGGACCATCCCCGCTCAACGGCACCTGTGCAAAACAATATAATACAGACATACAAGGCACAATGAGCACACAAATTTGCAGAAAAGGGACATCTCATACACAAAAAATTAGCAGAAGATGTTTCAAAATGTTTACAGCAACGGCTCAAACAGCCAAATATGCAAGAAAGATTTAGGGGAAGGGAATTCATTCTTTTCTTTTCCTCTTCTTCTTCTTCTCTTGCTCTTGCTCCATCTCCTCATCGGCCTCAGCTGGCCGTGCTTGAGCAGTCAGGGAATACTGAATTTGCTGACCGGGGGCAATCTCGGGATGCTTCATTGGTCGAGGGAGCTGGTACTTCTTGTAAGTAAAGCCCGGCAGGGTCCCCCGGAGCTGGTCATAAATCTCTTTCTGCATGAGATACCTCCCGTACTCCAGGGTAGGCAACATCTGCTTTCCCAAAAACTCCAGGCCCCCATCAGTAGCCAACCAGCTGTCTATATGCTGGCCCATTATGCTGTGCAACCGGGCCACGGAATCGGGAGAAGGGGGATTGCCAGAGCACGAGGCCTTGAACTCATCAGCTCCGGAAGCCCTCGCTTTTGTGAGCTCGGCAGCATGTAAGGTCATAATTTCTTCTAGGGCCTGGCTGCGCTTTGAGGCAAAATCGGCAGCGGCGTCTTTCAAGATCTGGACCTCTGTCTCCAGCTGAGCGATCCGAACCCCTTTGAGCCCGTCCTGCACCAAGGACTCTCTAAGGGTAACCTCTAGCTCTTCACAACGTCGTTGCCAACCGATGACATTCACCTGCAACTGCTCATTCTCTCGAGCTAAGTTGTTGGCCTGGTCGGCGACAGTGGCTACAGTGACACGTGCGGTGGCTACAGTGACACGGGCGGTGGCTACAGTGACATATGCGGTGGCTACAGTGATACGTGCGGTGACGATAGTAACATTAAAATTAAATAGTGACATTAAATTTGATAATGACATGAATATGACCTTCTTAGTCACATTTTTGTCCTAATGTTAATGTGGTCACATTTTTGGAAATTGTCTTTACTTTAATTATATTTAGGTAAAAACCCCATTGGTTAACCGTAAGTCAATAGTGATTGAATTCATATCCTTGTCCCTAGTCTTTGATCACCAGAACCCTAGATACTATGAAAAACCCAAAATAAAAAGTAACTAAAAATTTCCAAACACGAACCGTAATTAAAAGAGTAAATTCTTTAAATAGGAGTAAATTTTTTTTGAAATTCCAAAATATGACTGTCATGTTTTTATTCCCTAAATATGAGTAAATTTCTGCCAAGTTTGACATTACTAGACTTTTAAACATGACATTTTTTCCAAACTTGGCAGATTACTCATATTCAAGGAATAAAAAACAGGATACTCCGATCCTATTTTGGAATTTCAAAGCGTATAATATGCATAACCTATATATGAAATGTAAAACAACACGCGCAAACTTAAAAACAAAATATACCTTCACTTTCAAAAATACCAAAATTTCTCATAGAAAATCAGTACTTTTATCCAATAAAGTATCAGTTCTTGCAAGACGCATAACTCCACACTCTGTTTCGCTTTCTCTCGCACAAAAAGCTCATAGAATAGACTAGAAATTATGTCACAAAATGTCTCTTGGACTACTGAGAGTATAATAATGATATGATAATAATATAATAATATTAATTATTAATACTCCCTCCGTCCCGAAAAGGTTGATCAAATTTCTTTTTTGGATATCCCAAAAAGATTTGCCATTTCCATTTAAAGTAAGTAATATGTGACTAAAATTAATTCTCTCTCCTTTGCACAAATCTCAACCACACAGTTTTTACTTTATTAATCCACGTTAAAGTCAACTTTGGCCAACCTTTTCGAGACGGGGCGAGTAATAAATAGTGGGCTTGCCTACTGGTCTGAATACACACTTTATAATTACGTATAAACAGAGAAAATGGGTATTATTTTTAGGATATCTCAATATCTCGATCAATATCACTCATACAGTAGATATGTATCAGTGTGTATATTTTTAATTAAAGAATTACACATAATAACTTTATGTATTATTATGTGTATATGTATGTGTGTGTGTATTAGTTTGTATTTTTTTTTTATATTTGAAGTATGATAACTATTCATCTTATGTATCGGTGTGTGTGTATACTAAAACATGTAAGAAAATTTAAACGGGTCCGGGTCCTTAACGGATCAGAATCATATGTACTATACCCGACCCGTTTATTAAAAATAAAAACGGGTTCGGGTTCGGGTAAGCAGAATAAAATATAGACCCATACCCATTAAAAACAACCGGGTCCGGGTCTAGACCTGACCCATTGACAGGCCTACACGTAATGCATGTCATAATCCATGTCATTGTGCTGATTTTTAAAAAAGAAATAACCACACATAGTTGTAATTTTCACCCATACATGAAAGTGTAGACAATGAATAAAATATTACCAATGCAACACATAGACCACGTTTGGTGATCCTGTTTTTCGGCTTATCATCAGGCTTGTCAGCCAACTTTTTCACCTAACACATAACTTTTAATTTCATATGCTGAATTGTGTAATAATAAAAAAAGTAAGGATGGAGTTACTTTTATGACGGTATTGGCTGAAATGACTGTAGAAGCTAAGATCATTTTAGTTATTTTTCATATAATTTTTTCTTTATTTTATTGGTAAAAAATATTTTAAATATAATTTTTCCATAAATAAGCAGAATCAGGTAATCCAGCTATTTCAGCCAGAACTTCATAAATTTCAGCAGAATCAGTCGATTCAGCCAATTTAGTGCTACCAAAAGGGCTCATAATCTAATGTGTGGATACTATTTTTTTTTACCTACTGTTGGATACCCACACATTTTTACATTTATATGTGTGTGAGTGAATATTATTTCCTACACATAATTACATTTTTACCTACACATACCGTATGAGCAAACCCCATATTTTTATGGGTAAAATCCATATTTTCTTGTAGTGCCACTCATTTAGCGGAAGCCATCCGTTTTCGCTTGAATTACAAAAATGCCAACGATTTTTTTTTGGTCTGAATCAATTAGTGGGTTGTCTCCCTTAATTAGACCGGGTGTACGTATATCCGGATGTACCATATAGGCACCCGAACTTGAAATAAAGTGATTTGACACTTTTGTACATGTTGGTGCATGTGAGAGAAAACGTCTTATGAAATAAAGCAATTGGACACCTTTCTACATGTTGGTGCATGTAAGAGAAATTTTTTCTCGTGAGATGTTACTGATGTCAATAGGCAAAAAGTGTCTGATTGCTCTATTTCAACAAATAAAGATAAATATATGTCTAAATTGAAATAAAGGTAATGAACAAAAATATGATTTAGTGACTAACTTAGTAACTTTAGTGGTCATTATTGTGTTAAACTCTATCACTATAGTGACTATGCCTAATAACTATAACAATATTTTTGTCCATTAATTATATTTTAGTAATATTTATGTGAAAATCTCGATCTTATTTCAATAGGTCAAATAATAATTTAATAATTTGTGAGATGTTCTCGTTGAGATGCATAGTTGTAGAATAGCTAATTGTTCGATGACTAATTTAACTCTTTTCAAAAAATACTTTGACATATTCACTTTTCATAAATAATAAAAAATAAATATTACATATATATGTTCTCTTTTAGTTGCAACAACTTTGGTGATTTTGCACTATTATCATATTCTATTTTGACTACATATTATTTGTTAATGTATTATAGATTAAATTTTTGAAAAATATTGTTAAATTCCCCTCATTTTGACTTTTAAAAAACTGAACTTTTTGTTTTTTACTATTCCGTAATAAAGAATGTAAGATATTAAATATCAAACTTGATTGTTGAGAAACGTGAAAAATGGATCGTTAGAGAAATAAATAAGGGATAACACATTTTTATATGCGGCCTAATAGTCATGCTAGCGCCAATTCCTCTAAAAAAAATCAGTGTGGCACAATTCCACGTGAGGAGCACTTAGCCACTTAGCGTCCTATTTAACAATCTATAAATACCATGCTACCTGCCTTATGCCCTTATGCATATTATATGTGTCCTGTCATTGACCATCCCTATCTCCACTTTGTGTATATGTTCCTTCTATATCTTCTCAAAACTCAGTTGAGAACTTGAAAGAAAAGTTTTGTCAAAAACCCAGACGAAACCTTATGCAAAAACAAATTTAATGACAACCTTCTCATCATCATCAACGTGTTTCTCGACGGCAGCAGATCGTGTGGTAGTTAACGAATACAATCACACAGCTCCATTTCTCCATACCGGCGGGGTCATCTTTTCCGATCAACCGGCCGGAATCTCTCCCGCTCATCATGGGCATGGCGAAGAAGTATCCAACGGTGGTACTGGTACCCATCTGAGCAGCCCAACTCTAGGATTGTTCTTGCAGCAACCTTTGGCGGTTGAAATCCCGAAAACGTCCTCGGTATTCCATTTCCCCCTATTTGGGCAAAATGGTCATTTCACAAATACAAAAACTAACTACCCTTCTAAGGGTTTCACTGATTTCTGGCATGCCAACACCAGAACTCAGCCCCTGAAATCCGCTGGGGAAAGAGCGATGTCGGCTAAGTCGTTATATCCGACAGCGCGACCTCCCGGTAAACTTTTCAGGGGCGTGAGACAACGGCATTGGGGGAAATGGGTGGCGGAGATACGGCTTCCGCGGAACCGGACGAGGGTGTGGCTGGGGACTTTCGACACCGCGGAAGACGCTGCATTCGCCTACGACACCGCGGCGTACATGTTGAGGGGGGACTACGCCAACCTCAACTTCCCTGAGATGAAGCACCGGCTAAAGGATAGCTGCTCCAGTAATGGCGGCGGAACCACGGCGGCCCTCATCGAGGCCAAACTGCGAGCGATATCGCAAGGGGTTGTGGCCGGGACTGCGAGGAGGAATGGTAGTAATACCAACAATAAGGAGATGACGAAGATGAGCGATGAACGTCGTCTTACTCCACCACTTCCGGCGGCGGAGACGACGGTGGTGGTGAAGAAGAGGAGAACCGAAGGGGCGGCGGCGGTTCCACGGGAGAATGAGGAAGTTGTTCAACTAAACAGAATGCCATCTTTGGACATGGATTCCATCTGGGCTGAGCTGTTATTAGTGTCTGATCCTTAACTTCAATTCAGATCCATCTCCTTTGCCATCTCGCCTAAGTCTCTAACCATTCTTATTACTTCATATACTAATTCTTATTACGTATTACTCCCTATTATATTATTAATATTATCATTAATTATCATAATTATTATCATTATCACCACCACCAGTCCACCATCCTCTAATAATCTTCTTTTTGAACTTTTGCTTATAGTTAATTGAATTCTTCAAAGAATAAAAGATTGATGATGTGTGTACTCTTTCAAATACTCTGAATGTTGTACGAAGTACTATGTATACATGTTACTGTGATTATTACGTAGTACGTATTATTTTTTATTCTTATGTAAAACCAAATCATGTTACGCAAAATGTTAACTTTAAAAATATTCATATTAACTATATATTCTTGCATTTTTTAATAGCTAGCGGATGTTTAAATAAACAATTTTTTATTGTAGTACGGCAACTTTTGGATGATTAATACTTTAACATTAATTAATGACTGGCATTTTTGACCTTATAATTAATAAACTTGTTCTATTAAAGGATTTTTTACTAGACAAGATACATTTTCTGGTAAAATACAGAGACCTAAATTAAAAGTTTATCACCGCTGTGAGGACTAAATTAAATCTGCAAACATGAAAAATTACAATTCAAGTCTAACCAAAGGACATGTAGATAAATTAGAGGACTAGATTTACATTTTTCTCATATAATAATGAGGAAAATCACGCACAACATGTAATTAAAAAAAATACCTAGAGTTTGCTATTTGAGTATAATAATTAATTGTTTAATTTGAGACTTAAGAATAGGAAGAGGGGGGCTTTAATTTGTGTCTTTGCGGCATTCTGCATTTGGAATATTGTGTCAACCATTTCGTGTCTCTTTTGTGGTCTTCTTTTTTATTCTTTTTGTGTATTATACATATATTTGAATTCTTTTTTCACCATATTTTGTACTCCGTATCTTGTTTGTTATTTTCTTTTCTTTCATTGTTTTGAATTATCTTTACGTGTAGTTGAAGGTAATAGGAATCAGAAGAAAGCATCACCTTTATTAATAGGAATTGCTATGAAGTGCGAGAGGTGTAAAGGAGTAGATTTAGAAATTGAAATTGAGGTGGGTTAAGGACTAAGGAGTAATAACGTAATAGTCAATGGGCAAAAATTTAAACATAAAAGATTAAGAAAAATTTAGGTTGCACTAGAGTACTACACTACACAGACCACCCAGGCCTGCACCCGGGGTAGTGTTAGGGGGCAACTTAGACCTTTTCTCATCCCAAATTTAAAAAGTGCATTTTAGTTTTAGTGTAAAAAAATTTATGTGAGTTTTTTCCCAAAAATATTCTTTATACGGATCGACCGTAGATCCACAGAAAATATGTCTTAGAAAATGTATTGATGGTATGTTTAGATGTAAAACGAATAGAAAAATTCCGTTTGACACATTTTTGTACACTTTTTATGCACTCTCCCCCTATTTTCTTTACTTGCACAAACAATTTTTCTAAAAATGTAAAAAAAATTAGAAATTATTTATGTATATAGATCAGCTCGTTTTTGAAATATCAAATATGTACAACATGGCATACACTAAAAACCAATCTAAAACATTCTAAAATGTTAGAATCATAATTGAACTTAAAAATGTTAAGGGTTATCTACATTTTAAATAAAAAAGTAATATACTTGAACATTTGAACCATTAGTTTCATGCGATTTAATTGATTTCTTTTCAATTATACCGTGGTATCATTCTACGGTGAGCATCATGCTCCACTCCCAAAACGATGTAGTTTTGCACCTTTTTTAAAAAATCGCGTGAACGGTACACAAAATGAATGATGTAACTCGCGTGTAAAGATATGTAACTTACGTTAGTGATCAATGTAACTCACGTGTATTCGAAATTTAACTTGTCAAATACATATAGTATTAAAAATACAATATTGATTTCAATGCAAACAATGAAAAAAAAGAGTCTAATTGCACAATTGCTTTAGGTAAACCGTGAATATGTTTGTTTTTAATATCATGACTGATGGAGTATATGGCACAGGGACCCTTAGCCCATATACTTCCACTACTCTAATACAGGCCCAACAGGCCCAGGAAACACATCAGGCCCAAATCACAGCGGCCCAAGTGTCAAGAAGCCCACGGTTCGCATACAGATGCCCTCGGTCCCAGGGCCGAGGGCTCCAAGACTCACGGGGCAGTCAGAATTGAGCAGACAAAGATACTGGGAGAAGACTCTGGAAAATAGGAGCCTTCGGTACCTACAGCCCTCGGTATCTGGAGGCCCCCCCGGCCCATGGAGCCTTACTCGAAAGAATATCCTCTCCACATGCGCCTGAATCACCGTACCAAGTACAACGTCACATCCAACCACCGCATTTAATGCGGTCACATGCAAATGCCGGTGCCACCCCGATTGAGGTGACTCTCGGCCGTCAGATGCTTGACACGTGTCCCCGTCTAGCATTTATTGCTACTATAAATAGCAGCTCATTTCTCCATTGTAAACCACAACTTGATAACAACTCTCATATTCGAATATACACTCTCTCTCTTACTTATTTGTTCTGACTTCTCTCTAGTTATTCTCCGCAATAACCCCTCGGATAAGCTACCCCGGGTACACTATCCATCAATGACTATAAAAAAATATTTTTTTAAAAAAAAATCATTTTTTGTTTCAATAGCAGGGGTTGATTTTTTAATGTAATTCATGTATAAGTATGTTACAAAAAAGTATATGAATATAAAAAATATTACAGAAACAAAAATAGTACTTCGTATATGAATATAAAATGCATTATACTTATTTTATTTAGATTAATAAACTTTTGTTGTGTATTGATAAAGAATAAAAAAATAGATTCAATTATAATTTAGGATGAAAATAAAAAAAGTAGGTTTGCCATTAAATATTTAATATTTTAATTTGATGAAAAAAAAAAGAATTGAACAAAAGAAAAATAAAGAAAGAAAAGCAAAAAAAAAGGAACAAACATTGCTCCAGGGAGAAAGAAAAAGGAAAGACACTTTCCTAAAGTGATATCAGCACACAATGCGGAAGGTGGACCGATCCCACGATATAATTTGCGATTTCTTTTAGATAATTTGTACCCTAATATAGTTAAATCCAAGTCCATAGATATTATCGCTTGAAAATATTGGTGGAACGAGTAAGAGCGTAACTTCTATTTTCAATAAAAACAAATAAAGTTGAGTTATTTTGCCGGATGAAGCGGTTGATGCATGTTACATAATTGTTTTAGCTACTCCGTATTATATAACGGAGTATATAAATTTTCTTTACTATGTAATAAAATGTACCTTAAATATACTCATAGTTTTTTCATAATTCGGCATATTAAGCTAATTCAACCGTTTCAGTCATAATTTTATCAACTTCAATGGATTCAATCAATTTAAACATTACCAAATGAGCTACAGGCGTCATTAAATTGTATTTAAACTTCTCTTCCAAGCGGGTCCAATTAATTTGATCCGGCCCACACTTACTTACACCGTGAATGGATCACAATAACATCATATACGGAGTATATTCATATTAATAAGTAGAAAAAATTCCACTTTTGGTCCCGCGATTATTATACCACTTCCACATCTAGTCCCTTATTTTCAGATTGTCCACATTTAGTCCGTGACCATTATCCCCTCACCACCCCTCGTCCTTTCGGCCAAAATTCCGACAAATTTAATGTAGATTTTAGGTATAAAAAACCAAATTTAATGCAAAGACTGATATGAAAAACCCATCCTGATATAAAATTTAATGCAAAGACTGATTCTGGGACTGATAAGTGGACTAAATTTGTCGGAATTTTGGCCTGAAGGACGAGGGGTGGTGAGGGGATAATAGTCACGGACTAAATGTGGACAATCTGAAAGTAAGGGACTAAATGTGGAAGTGGTATAATAGTCATAGGACCAAAAGTGGAATTTTTTCTTAATAAGTATCCAAGAAGCCCAATTTGAATTTGTAAACAGATTTCACATTGTTGGGCCTTGATTTGTCAAGCGGACCGGCCCACGATGCTGTAGGGGTTTTGTTAAACATCAAAGAACGGCCAGTCCATTTTAAAGAGTCCAGCTCAATTAAGTAAGGTGACGGGACAGATAAGGATGCTGATAGCTGGTGGAGAAAGTCAAGGAACAGATTCCACATTAGTAGGACGGATGACGTTTCGTCCAAAAGATCCGGAGCCCACGTTAGGAGATAGAGTTGGAAAAAATATAAATAGCTTAGGGAAGAAGGAGAAAAGAGAGATCAATTCTGAGAAAATAGTTTACTTTCATTATTGTATTCACATCATCAATCATAAATCAATACATACTATATTTCTACTAGTGATAATTCATCTTGTGCGATTCCCGTTCATATCATTTGATTGTTAGGAGAAATTCAGATTTCTTGCCTAAACAATTTGGCGCCCACCGTGGGGCATCGTGCAAGAGAAAGATCATCAACCATGTCCGGAAACAACCCCTTGTTGGAGGAAATCCACACTCAAATGGAGGCAGTTCGAGCAGAATTTCGTCGGGAATTGGCGGAAAGGATGGCACATCTCCAGCGAGAAAACGATCTGCTCCGGTCCCAAGTTTAGTCAGCAGTCTCGATTGCATCCAATTGCAGGGGTAACCGAAGAAACGATCTCATGCCCGTGGTCACGAGGCTTGATTTGGAATCCACTCCGGCGGTGACGGATGCACCCATTGTCACTTCCGAGCCCATCTCCCTCACATTGGGCCTCTCACCCGCCGGGGAATCACAACCCACCGTCATTTCTCAAGTGATACCATACACACCGCTCGTCCCTGAAACGACCCCTGTCCCCAACATTCCGACTTGTTTCTTCCCGGAGTCATTGCGTCCCGGATCCAGGAGGACAGGTTTGCAGACGGCCATTCAAAGCCTACCAATGACGTCGGACGCATCAGCCCCGACGGAACCATACATCCCTCATTACAGAAGGAGAACTCATGGTGACCCCGGTCCATCCAGTCTCATGCAGAGTAGGGGACGGAATATGTTTGACGAACTGCCACCCGAATTTCAGGCACAACGACAACGTAGATCGGTCGCTTCAGCAAGTCAGAGTCACAGAGAGCGACATCCAGAGATCATAGTCAT